AAAATCCATGTCAGGGTTTTATGTCCCCCTAAAAGTAGCTCTGCCCTCTGTGAAGATTCCCACTGTGGTTTCTTAAGACTCGCCCGTCCGCTGAACAAGAGAATGTGTGTGTGAAGAACGGCCAGGTCAGCGCTTGCTGTCAGCCCCCGAGCACCCGCCATAACTGGGGTGCTGTCCACGGCTCTGCTCTGCATGGACCGCAGCCCCTCCGTAATCACTGGGGTGCGGTTACTCTCTAAACTGGGAACAGAAAAAGGACGTCTATTCCTTTTATCCAACGGTGGCATCGGGGCTCCGGAACTGAGCAGGGCTGGATGCAGAATAACTTACATCAGTGAGAGGATTTCTGCTGGGGATCAGCGAGGATTTGTTCTTCGGGCGTATGTAGGCGCTCACTTCAGATGACTATCTTTAGGGGGCTCAACTGCGGTGATGCACAGCCTGGTCTTTGAATAAGGCCTCCAGTTTAATGTCAGCCTCCCTCCGTGGAACGGCTCCTCAGGGGATGTTTTCTCACAAGCCTGCACGCTCTGCTTTGTTAATGGTTTGTAAGTTGTCGGTGTCTCCTCTCCCTTTTATATTCATTTCAGAGAGGAAAGAAGAGGGAGAGAGATAGAAACATCAATGATGGGAGAGAATCATTGATTGTCTGCCTCCTGCACACTCCCCGCTGGGGATCGAGCCCGCAACCTGGGCATGTGCCCTTGACAGGAGTTGAACCTGGGACCCTGTATTCCGCAGGTCGATGCTCTAGCCACTGAGCCACACCAGCCAGGACTAGGTGTCTGCTCTTCTGATCACTTCAAGAAGTAGATAGCAATGTTCCATCAGAGAGAGACAGTGCCACAGGGTCTCACTCACAGGTGGAATCGAATGAAAAAAATAAACTGATGATCAAAATAGATCCAGAGACACAGAACCATGGAACAGATGCGGAACCTCACAGGGAAGGCGGGGGTGGGTGGGAAGTGATCACCTGAAGAACTTGTGAGCATAGATGCATGGCCCATGGACACTGACAATAGGGGGTGAGGGCCTGGGATGCGGGGGCAGGGGCAGGCCAGAAGGCGTCAATGGGGGAAAGGGGACCTATGTAATACTTTCAACAATAAAGATTAAAAAGTAATTTAAGAACTAGATGGCTGTGCTATTGCTTCCCTGACACCCCTGGAAGGAATATTAATTATGAGCCCGGGGAGGCGCTGCGGTCCATGTAGAACCGTGGACAGCGCTGTGGTTGTGGCGGGCGCTCGGGGAATGACAGCAGCGCTGACCTGACTGCTCCCAGCACACACACTGGCTCTCCCAGCAGAGGGGCGATGCTTAAGAAGCCACGGAGGAAGGCTTTGCGGTGGGTAGAGCTCTTTTCCGGGGTGGACATAAGACCCTGAAATGGATTTTCCTTAGTTCACTTTTTAAACATGTTTTTGGAGGTGGGTTTGCTCCTTCTGGGGGGCGTTTGGAAAACGACCACACGAATAAATGTCAGGAGTTGCATGTCTAGCTCCCTTGTTCCGGGCCTGGGAGCACTGCGTCGGCTTCCGTGACCGAGGGTCCCAGGAGAACGAGCCCTGGAAGCCGATGCGTCCGACCAAAGTCCACCGGAACCTTCTGGAAAGGACGCACCATCTCGGTGCCGCTAGAGACACTTGTGGTCGTGGGAGGAGGTCACAAGATGAACGTCGGCAGGAGTTTCGGAGAAGGTGACCCCAGCCCTCAGGGCCACTGGGAGGGGTCAGGACTTCGGAGGGTTCAAGACGTGGCGGAAGCGGCAGGAGGACCAGGATGAGAAGTGGGGCCAGAGGGAGGGACCGCACGGCTGCATCTCCCGGCTGCATCTCCCGGTAGCATCTCCGCTGCATCTC